TTAAATAAAGAAATGCAAAAGCCAAATAAAGCCAGAAAAAGTATGTAAATATTTTTACAGTAATGTATATGATACTTTCTTTTATAACACTTTCCCCTTGACAAGTAAAATTGTCTTGCATTGAACAGAATAATACTCTTGTGTTACAGTGCAACATGAGTCAATGGTTTAACTAGACACATGGGCAGATAGGCTAGTTAAACCATTAAGTGTCATCACGTTTTCCTCGATGAGTAAAATTGTTTGGCATTAGACAGTGAAATAATAAATTAATGACTGATTATTATTTATCTAGGTCTTCAGATGGAAAGTGTCAATGTTGAAGAAAACGAAGGCGTGCAATGCATACTATTATGTAAAATAAAAACTTAACATGACCCAATGTCAAATTTATTTAGTAAGTGACAATATGTAACTTTTTTGTTTGTCTTCACAGGCAGTGATAATTTTATGTGTTTGGAAGAGTTGGTATCTCAAACAATGGAGCTTGAAGATTCCATGCAGTCTACTACAAAAGATGATAGTGACAAACTGTCCAATTTCCAGGAAGCATTTGTTGACTTCGACAAAAAAGTACAGGAAATTATGCAGCTACAAGATGATATTATTGCTTTACAAAAAGATATCATTGCCACTGGAAGGCTTCTTGGTGGGCTGTTGTCAGTGTCGGAAAGAAATGCCATTACATCTGAAGTGGATAAAGCAAAGCAGTTGTTCAACCTTAATATAAGAGATGATAAAGCAAATGACATTTCCCATATTTTCCAACCACTACTATTCCAAAAACTTGTTTCAAACATAAGAAATAGCTGTCAAGATTGATATCCTGAGATAAATTTGATTCCTCAAAATCTTTTGAACTTTGGTCGTTGAAGGTGGTTCTTTCCGAATGTAAAGGTGTATTCTTGAGTACATAATTCAGTTCAACAAGAGGTTTCTTGTTCAAGATCCTAATACTATACACATAACGATCATTTGCTTCGTCCGATATTTCAATGTTCTTCGAAGTCGGTTCGTGTTCGGCAAAGCCATGAATTTCATGAAGACAAAAGCAAATTTTGTAGCAGCTTCAAAACTTGAAATTGCTTTAACCACACACTCTATTTCGTATCCTTTTATTTTAAAATTCGATGCATTATTAGGCCACAATGGAGGAACAGCAGAAAGTTTTTCCAGCGCTAGAAGTAATTCCGCCATACTGATGATGCGTGCTGAGTCAATGAGCAAATTTCATTCTTCCGCATTCTTCCGCCATACTGATGATGCGTGCTGAGTAAATGAGCAAATTTCTTCTTTGTCTTACAGGGAAAGCACTTAATTTCGCTTTTCTCTCCCCTACTTAGTAGATTTTTGGTATGCGCGAGTCATATGCGCAGAATTGACAGACCATGTCGATTTTTGGCACGCAACTCTCCTTTCTTTCTCTTTCCGCCCCGCCCGCCTTACCGCCTTCCCTTCCCGGCGCAATCCCCTTATATTCAGTTACACTCGGCCAAAACATATATTCAATTACACTCGGCGAAAATATAAAATATTATGAACTCCATTTCTCAAAGGTTTCCGTTTGGGATTACACAGGTTTGCCTACTTATATTGTTACTCATCTATGCTATAAAACTATTTGAATACCAACAGAGTTGCCTGCGGAGGAGGCTACTCCATTACATGCTAAAGCCTACACAGATATAATAATGTTGCCTAATAAAAGCAGCAAAGCCTGTCGCTATAAAGACCACAAAAGATGCTGCAAGCGAAATACACCAAGGTAGTGCTGATGAGGTAACCAAGTGTGGTGTGTCATGTGATGGAACGTGGCAACGTCGAGGATATGCATCCTTAAATGGCTGTGTGACAACCTTGTCAATTGACACGGGTAAGTGTTTAGATGTCGAAGTCCTAACGAAAGTTTGCCATGGGTGCCAGAAAATGGCAAATGAAAGTGATGCTGTAAAAAAAGCTGATTTACAAGAGAGACACAAGTGTAAGGCAAATTACAAAGGATCAGCCCCGTTAATGAAGACCGAAGGAATCAAAAGAATATTCAACCGGAGTGAGGAATTACATAAGCTGCAGTACACAGAATATTTTGGTGATGGTGACAGGAAAGCATACAATGAAGTCGAACATTGTTACCAAAATGTTCACGTGGAGAAGAAAGAATGTGTTGGTCATGTCCAAAAGCGGGTTGGGGCTGCACTTAGAAAACTAAAGAAAGAGAATAAAGGATTTGGTGGGAAGGGAAAGCTCACAGAATCTTGACAAACTACAGAATTATAATGGGATTGCCATTAGAAGTAATTGTGGAAATTTATCTGGCATGAAGTCTTCTATTTATGCCAGCCTTTTTCATTGTATTTCGTCCGTAAAGCGCAATCTCCACAATCACTGTCCAGATGGTACGGACAGCTGGTGTCGATTCAAGCAAGACAAAGCGAACAATAGAAACTTATATAAACCAGGACCAGGTCTTCCTGACAACATAGTAGCATCGATTAAGTCAATTTATGCTAGACTCAGTACTGATAATTTGTTGAGGAAATGTCTTGATGGAAAAACCCAGAATCAGAACGAGTCGCTGAACGGCATGATTTGGAATAAGGTACCGAAAGGTGTTTTTGTTGGTGCCGATGTGCTAGATTTTGATGTTTATGATGCTGTTGCACATTTCAATATGGGTTCCAAGGTTCAGAGGCTATTCTTAAAGAGCTAGGTTTGGAACCAGGACATTACTTGTAAGAAGGAGTTAGAAAGGCAAATGAAATACAGATCAAGAAGACTAACCATCGAAATGAGGCGGAAATCAAGAAAAGAAGGAAAATGTTACGGGACCAGAAAAAAAAGAAAGAAGACAAGGGGGGTACCACATATGAGGCAACTATTAATAATCGACTAAACTATTAACAATCGACTGTTTATAGCCATTATACAGTGATTCCCTTGTAAATAAACAAAATATTTGACTATAGGAGATAAAGTAAAATAATTACCCTACCTTCAATAATTTTGAAATAGTAATATCTTAGGTGATGATAGTGATGTTCATTTTTAGTATTCATGGCGTAAAACATTTATTATAACACATATGCAAACAAGTTTACTTCATCTCCTTATTGCAGATTGATGCTTCCTCAGATGATAACATTGAGACAGTCTATTCTGATGTGCAAAGCGCTTTGTGCAAAGTCTCAAGCGCTAGTTTCGTGGATACGAACACGGCAGAATTGACTGAACCTACTCAGTCATTACCCGCTAATACAGCTAACCTCGGTGGGACCGGTTGGTGGGCTCAATCATGCCTTTATTTTGGGTCCGGGGCGTCCTCCTATCCCAGCGAAACTTGTGACTCAAATTTTGGCCAATAAGTTTGTCGAACTGTCCGAACTATCCCAGAGAACCTCGAAGCCCCATTAAACGAAGTACCATCCTTTGTTATTGATCGCCGCTCTATTGTCCCTACGAGTACATCGCGCAAGAAAAACGAAATTCGCGATATTTTGACGTGGGTCGAGTGCTTCAATAGTTATATAACCGTGATAAAACCTCTCCTAGACCTGACAGGGCACGTGATTTACTCGCATATAGGGCATTGATTATTCGCATGGCTAAACAGTTCCCAGGAGGGTTCTGGCTGAATTATGATCGAGCGTTTCGCCTACACGCTGCGGCATCCAATTCGACGAATTGGAATTAGATTCATTCGGATCTGTACCATTATCATACCGCGGTATCTGCACAATCCACTTCCTTGTGTGTCCTCGGTAACTCCTATTAATGTAGACAATTTTTACAATTATGCGGTCATCCGGATAAAGCGAAAGTGGATTATGTTTTAAGCGGTTTACGGGACGGGTTTCGGCTCGGGTTCCACCCCAAATCTACCAAACTAAAACCAGCAAAGTCAAATTGCCCATCAACGCGGGAACATCCCTCGGTGATTGATGAATATGTGGCAAAAGAAGTTTCTCTAGGTCGCGTATTTGGTCCTACAATCCCATGCAATATAATATGTGCCACCATGAGTTTTCAATGTTGATCCCCCTTCCCCCTATCTCAATGTTGTATTTTAACAGTTAATGAAGACTAACACCTCGAATAGTGAAAACCATCACTACCCAACATTGAAACAGGGTGCGGGAGTATGTAGTGTCTCGTTAATTTTGCATAAGATTGTCTTGAGCGGGAATGTTTGGAATGCAGACGATTAATAAGTACGGATTTTAATAGACTACCACTTTGTCAAGTTCTTTTATCACGATTAAACGTAGAGAAATGTAACGGAACACGATGAAAAATTATTACATTTGTTGAAGTATTATATTAATGGTACAATTTTATATATGTGGCAATAAAATGCATGTTTGTTGGTAAAAAACATAGGCATGACATAAAAATTGCTTAATGGGCCCTTAATTAACGAAAATTGTGAAGTAATTTGCTAACTGACATAAGCACTAAAGTAAGCATGACCGGCTCGCAACTCATTAAGCAGATAGTAACGTAATACAGAGACGTGTGTATTCTAAAAACATCCATTTAATCAAAAACTATACACACATAATGCAAAACGAATCGCTTCGTAGTCGCCAAGTCAGACGTGTTTATTTAATTACGTATAGTCAGGTGAACGTAGATTTGTGTCCAACGCGTGAAAGTTTCGCGACTGTAATTCAGAATGCATTCACATCTTGTAATATGCAAGTTATTCAATGGGTATGTGCCAAAGAAGACCATGCAGAATCCGGATTTCATTTTCACATGACCGTGAAATTGTCGGAAAGGCATAGATGGTTAAGAGTAAGGAATTATATTCGGGTGCAGCACGGTATTAATGTTAACTTTTCTAATCGTCATGACAATTACTTTTCGGCTTGGAGTTACACGACAAAAGAAGATATAGAGTATATTCAATCTGAGGGTCATCCCGATCTTACCAACGCTCAACCTCCTCAAACCACACGAGCAGTCTGTTGTCTTGCCTGAGTGTTTATTTTACCCAATAGTTATTTTACCTGATCTTGGGAAATACGAGATTATTCGTTTAGTGTATATATCAAGGGAGTCGTCATCAATATCACTGAATCTCTCAATGCGTGTCATGTTAAATTCAGCAAGTCTGTTTTCCACTGTTCGCTTGCTGACACCAAGCATTAATGCCATTTGATTTTGAGTAAATCCCATATCTATAAAAGTACAGAAAAGCACATAGTATATATGATGTAATTTAAGAGAACAGTTTAAAATCATCCCTTCACTTCTCCCAAATTCATGATAATTGTTACTTTTTTATTGAAAAGTAAAATACAAACAAGTTGCCAAAACAATTTTTACCTTTAAAAAACATAAGCTGCTCTTGCGTAATAGAAAATCTTGGGCGTCCTCGCCTCCTGAGAGCTTCATCTGATGGAGCTTGATAAGGTTCATATCTTCTTTCTATCCCAAGATCTCTTTTCAATAATTGAACTGCTTTATTTATGCAGTCAACAACCTCCAATGGGATGACATCATGAGTTAATGCATTCTCAGCAAGTACTTCAAGTCGCATTGCACACAGCTCACGATCATCATAACTCGTGCTTTCACTTAACATGGTAATGACATCCTTGATAGCATTAATTAGTTCTGCTGTAAATGAATCCATAATGTATCTATATTAAATTGACCTAAAGGAAAAAACTATTCATCAGTGATTGCCCCCTCCCCTGAAAAAATGTAGCATATAGTATGCACATTGGGTATGGAATAGAAATAGATGGAATCTAATGTTAATGTGAGTTATGTGACATCCTTATTCTTTTCCATACAAAGGGGAGGGAGGGGATCCTCCTGTATATAATACATATTTAAAAATTTTGCCATGTTGCCTGCCCATGACATTAATTAAGCTATTAAGATTTTTGAATAGATTAGTATTTTCAAATGTTATATCAATGTTAAACAACTCTTTATAAAATGTTACAACACTATGTATGTCATGTATGTTGACGCAGATAGTTCCTATATTAAAATAATATACTCTAAATAACAAGAAGATATTGTTTAAGAACAGAGTATAAATCTTTGAACACATACCTTTATACTGAGATCTTCCAGGGGAAAAATATTTGCCAACAAAATGCAAAAAAGCTTGGAAAATGTCGCGATACAAAATAACGGTGTGCGAACGTCGAAGTGTGAGTTGCGGAAAGGACTTTGAACGATATCTCATTTCAATAAACATGCGGCAAATTTCCATATTTTGATTTTATTTCCGTAAAATTTCTTTCAAGGAAGTATAAATAACAAGATGGAAGCATCTTGTTGATTCACTTCACAACATGATGAATCAACTTACAACAAGACGTGTCAAGAACGCACAAGTTACGTCAAATCAAAATATGCCGTGTCATTTCACTTGGACGCGAATCGTTTCACCTTTGGTGAAGCCATTTCACATCTTGTTGAGTGATTTCACATTTATTTGAGTGATTTCACATGATTTTGAATCTGTTCACATCTAGCTGAACGACGCCGCCTTTAACTGGGCCGTTTCACATTGAGTTACATTGTCGCATATTAGATCGAATCGCGTCTCATCTGGTTGAATGGTGTCGAATTTAGTTGAGCTATTTTAAAACACATCGGATGGCTGTAAAAAAGCATGAATTATTTGACAGCTTACTGGGTCACTCTTATACGACTTGTTGCGTCACTGCAAAATACATCAAGTCATTTCACTTGGTCCATACGAATCAGTTCAATAATAGCCGAATTAACACACAGTGAAGTGAATCGTTTCAACTTTGAACGAGTCATTTCTTGTTTTGTCCAGTCATATTACTACAATATGTTCAAGCATTTCTAAACACATTGAATCATTCGTGTTTGTTATGAATGATTTTTGTTTATGTCCATTCATTTCACACGTGTAACATTTTTGGTGGTAACGGCCGCCCATATAGTTACCAAAACAACACAAAAATTAAAATTTACAGCGCTTCCACCTATGGCTTCCACTAACACGATTATAATTTCCTGTTTAATGTGCAAAGACGCAAAACATCCTTCTTCAATACATGCATAAAAAACATTTTTTTTAGTTTGACCAATAAATGTGTAAATAAGCCATAATACGAGAACGAGGCTGAGTGGTGAAGACCGCGAGCCTCGTTCCCGGGTTATGGCTTATTTTCATACTTATTAGTAAAAATGAAAAATTATTTTTCGTGCACGGGTTATAGAAGGATTTTTTGCACCTTTTCACATAGCTTGTGAGAGTAAAACTTGAAATCCATCTCACTTAAGATGGTTCTAATTTTAATATATATTGTAAATTTATCTGCGGAGACCGCACTTGAGAAAAACCCGTGAAGACGAAGGTTCCAAAGATATCTTGCTCACTGATTTGCTCTCGAACGGGTGTAGCACAAAGTAGCAAGATAGTCACAATTATTGACTTTACAATCCATTCAAGATATCTGACACCCGCCATTATTTGCCCCGTAACTCCACTTTATAAGACGATATGCTGTTATTTATAAGCGAGAAAGTTTTTCTTTCAATGATATTATAATCACAAATAATTTGCTACAGCAATATATATATATATATATATATATATATATAATATATATATATATATATATATATATATATATATATCGCATATATGTTTACAGGCTGTTTGGCAGGTCGAATTTCCGCAGATCTGGACGTATAATAATTTCAACTAGGGTACATCTAGAGGGTACTTCCAAGTTGGAGGTTGATGCGGGTATTGTAAGCCAATAAAACTACATAGACGTATGACAAGAATACGACTTGTTGCAATTTCACAGATGGTATTCTTGTCATACGCCATGTAGTTTGAATGGACCTTTTTGCCACAGCTAAAAAGAGCATACCGAAATTAGTATAAATGCCAAGTTTGGCCGCAAAATGCATGTGAAGTACTGCGGAAAATATAGCCATGTAATTATGTAAAGTAGCCAATCTTGTATACGTTTTTACCACGTTTTTACTCCTTGCGACTTTGTCAAGAGTGGCAAAATGAGCAGGTGCCTGGCGTCCTGATTTTAGGAAGTGCAGGACATCTTCCAGTGAAGCCCGAGTCATTCAAATTATAGTGTCAATCGTCACATATGTCGCAGGTCTTAAATTTTCCGTGGCACCTGAAGCGTTTCACTGATTTAGTTACACACTTCCGGCCGTAGTAAAAAAAGTATACAAAATTGGGCTAAACTGCAGAATACCCCTCCACTAGACATAGCCTGTACTCGTAGCCACCACAATGCGGCTACATGTACAGCTATGCGACCACGCTTATGGTTACAATGATTATGTAATAACAATGATGTAATGCTAAATGAAGGTATATTCTTTCACTGGCCACTGGCTACTGGCTACACGTCCAAGGCATAACAATGATGATGTAATGCTAAATGTAGGTTTTTACTGGTACGTCATATTTGAATACGGGACCTCTGTTAACTTCAACGTTTCTAAATACTGTCTCACACACAAAATCATTATTTTTATAAACGCGCAAAAGCAGCCTTTGCACAATTGAAAACTGAGACGACAGTCGAAGCACATGTGTAATTTCAGCACCTGTCATTAATCATTTTTTGACGTTCGTGATTACCGCAACCCGCCTACGTGGTTCTGTGACTTCTACGTCAAAGCGGCGAGAGTAATTATCGGTGCGACACAAACGTCTTTGGTACAAGCTCTAAGCTTGCGTACTTTTATTATATTCTCCTTTCCTGACCAGTCTTGAAAGTTTTGTGATGCGCAGTCAATGCCAATAAACACACACTTTCCAAGATACCGTCGAAAAAGTTGTGTCGAGAATTAGCCTCCGTTCAGTATCGTTTGTCCTCGACAAGTCTCAATTCACACAAATTCGATTGGGTTTATGAAATATATTGATTAACAAATAAAATTAAAAGTTATACTAAATCTTCACCCAAAATTCACGTTGCAGCTATGTCGAATTAATATCGCGTCTCTCGAGTCACAGACCGTTTCGCACACTATGACCCTCTATCACCAACTGACTCAATTTTGTGCAGATCCCTTATTTTACCCATATTGCTTCCCATTTCTGTGCAGTGCGTGTCATCACCTATTATTTCGTGCGCCCCGTTGTCGCTCAGTCCCGACAGTTGTTGTGCTGCGTATAGGCCGTGAAAATGCACGCCAAGAGTCAAACAGATAGTGAGCTGCCAAAAACTGTTAAAATTTGCTAGTGCTTTGAGCGAAAGCCCTTCATCAGACCGTTTCAACATCGAAATGATGTGTCGCTAAAATAACCGAAACATTACTTCGATCTTCATTTCCTCTGATGAAGGGCTTTCGCTCGAAACGTCAGCAAATTTCAACACATCTTCGCACCTCACTATCTCTTTGACTTTTGGCCTCCCTCGCCTTTCCAACGATAGCCAGATTTATCAGACAGAATTATGCTCAACTTTCGTTTTTCAAATTTCACTCTGCTGGCGTTATTAAGTGACCTTATTACAACAGCAATAGTATACCCTTTACTATATGTATGCGTCTCCCATATTAAACTTATTTAGAAGTATTTGCTGCAAATTCCCAGGCGGATTCACACATTACTATTGATCCATCACTTCAAAACTACTACATCACTTCAAAACTACCTGTTTTACAATCATGCAATTGATCATGGGACATATTTAAAGTCAGTTTCTATTTTATTCATCACTTCAAAACAAATGCGTACGAATGTAATAATACACAATTTTCACGCAATGACGCGTTTTACATTGATGATCACACACTATAAAAAGTCAAACAACTACAAAATTAATATTGCACAATTTTGCAATCACCGTTCTACATTGATATGACACTATTTCTAGTCATTATAGATCTTATTTCTAGTCACTGTAGATCTTCTTAACATCGTTGAGAAATGTCTCAAGTAAATCTTTACCCTTGTTTTGGTATCGCCACAAAAATTCGGCCAAGTGTGAAGAAAACACTACCTTTCGCAGACCAAAACTGGGAAGCTTGCATTTCGCTTGTCGCCAGTGCCCCTCGATTTTGTTCGTACGAAATCCTTCACTGTTAACGAACTCTTTCGAATGGCTGACGGTTCTATGTTTATAGGTATAGCCCTTTTCCTCTAAATGAATGTAGGCTTTCCAGCTGTCCGACACAATTGTCGTTCCCTTTTCAACGTATCTTTCTATAATTGGCAACAATGTTGCCTCGTCTCGCTTCTCGACAGCTACCATGAAACTTACTTTCGTCTATTTGGACTTGTTTGCCGGGACCGCCAATCTTGTCTTCTTGTTCGAGCAGTGTCACCTCACATGTTTCGCGGCAGAAACTGTCCAGTCGATTGCTGTGTGAGATGCAATGTTCAACTCACGGCATATCTGCTCTTGTCGCACATCAGCACATCACCAATACGTAAACTTCAGTATTTCTTCTAAACTCATGTTGCTCTTCTCAAACCAGCTACCATGACGAATTGATAATTCCACCCTGTGCCTCTTCCCCCCTTGTTGTTTGCTACATACCCATTTGAAACCGTCTGATCGATCGTTGCACGAAACCATCTTCATTTCACCTCTACAATGACCACAAACTCTCTTGCGAGCGATTACGCCTTCGTCCATGCACCAACGTATCACATTCTCTTTGTTAACCAAAATCTCATCATTCAACCGATCATAAGTCTAATAGGTACATGGCTTTGCCGTGCACAACGGCAATAACTGCCACCACCCTTACTACACTGTGTTCCTATTTCTGTCTTATCAAAATAAGATATATCTGTTTGTGAGCTATTATAAACCTTTCTGGCGTTTCTTGCTTTCAACACAAACTTGGACGCCTTTTTCCATAACCACACAGCACCGTGCTCTTCTCAAGTCTTAACACTAGTTAACATTATGACAAGCCTACCGTACATCTGACACTGCTGACTCATGTGTGCGGCGGTAAAATGCACTGCCGACCGCTTCCGCGGCGTTCATACACAAAGCCCGCGTTTTATTGTAATTTACCACACTTAACAAAACCTTCACAGATATCACTACAACCACGGTTCTACAACACTGTCTTCACGTTCTCGGCGCCTGTGCAATGGCTAACACAAACCCACTCTTGAAAAGTCGCTAGACAACACGAAACAAAAATGCATATACCTAGATTTAACATTACATCATCATTGTATTGACTCGTTCTTAAAAAACCAAATTAAACCTGTAGCCAGTAGCCAGTAGCCAGTGAAAAAATATACCTACATTTAGCATTACATCATCATTGTATTGCCTCGTTCTCAAACATCTTAATTAAAACTGTAGCCAGTAGCCAGTAGCCAGTGAAAAAATATACCTACATTTACCATTACATCATCATTCTATTGCCTCGTTCTCAAATATCTTAATTAAACCTGTAGCCAGTAGCCAGTAGCCAGTGAAAAAATATACCTACATTTACCATTACATCATCATAATCTCAAATAACTTAAATTAAATCTATAGCCTACATTTAGGATTACATCATCATAACGCCAAATAACTTAAATTAAACCTGTAGCCAGTAGCCAGTGAAAAAATATACATACATTTAGGTTTTAATAATTATTTTAACCACTTAATGATTATTAAATATCAGTACTCGTAGCCAGTAGCCGCCTTCTTCAAACACAGCTTCAAAAATGACAGGGTATTCTCGTGAAAATATGCTTACCATTGCAGTGATTACACTCATAAACCTTCATTATTTGTATACTGTCAGGTCAACAGAATTATAAATCCGATAAGGTATCAAAGCTTGCATATAAATTAATCCAATAAGAATACAGATGATGTGGGTTACCGTTGATGTGTGAACTCTTGGCACTATCAGAAT